CCAGACTTGATTGCTGTTTCACAAATGCCTATTTAGATTGCGGTGTATGTGTGATAGGGAAAGCCATATTGACAGTCTTTGGGAAGTTCAGGGCGTTCTAAGTGGCATCGAAGTCGTGTTGCTGTCCCTAGTTTAAAGACATTAAAGAGCGAGGAGGCAAGGGAGATGAGGTAGTAATCGTTACCTCTTATAGGAGAGATGTAGGAAGTCTTGCAATTGCTGACTTACGTCACGGCATACGGTCGCAAGAGTGTATTCCGTCATCGTGGGTCGAGTCACTGACCGTCACTATCTTCGAGAATGGTTCTCCCAACAACTGCGCAGCATCAGTTTGATCCAGGTTGTCACTATGGCACTAGCCTCTGATATACTTTGACGCTTACCACGTTCAAGAGAGACCAATATCTGTGAAAATCAGGTAGTATTCTCATCTGGCTTGGGCGTATTAATCGAGTTTTTATTTTGCATCAAATCTTCAAGTTGTCACTGGTAATTGTCCACGAATGGATTAGTGTATATAGGTAAACGGTCGCAGACGATCAGCGATGATGTCTAAGGACGTCGTGACTGTTCTCCTGGTAAGCAGTATCTCAGTGAAGTTCGCTTCACTGTATTACGCTGTACAATGATGACGATGATGATAATAATGAAATGCCACGAATGTCCTTAGGATGTATCGCGACCTGGCCTTCCGGTAAACAAGGCCATCGTCATTATCCTGCCGCATCACTGCTATCCCTTGGCAGAACAAAAGCTACAAGTGCATCGTGGAGGAGAAATACCCATTGCTAAAAAGGATTTCACTTCGTGCCACACTCTGGAAAATATTTATCGTCCCATCCATGGAGCTGACTAATCCACATATGCGAGAAGTTCGTTTTAAGTGGAGGAACAATGTTAGAACTGAAATCAGTGAAAATTAGTTGGCCGGCTCAATCCTACAATCGTCTTGCAGTGGTGTTTTCTGGTATACCGCTTCAAGCTAAGTGTCTTGGAAACTGAACAGTAGAACTTCTTGTCAATGAGTTCCACTCCTATCGTTCAGCAATCTAAGTTACAATCAGAGTGCATTGTTGTTTTCCATCCCCCTTGATGGATTCAATTTTCCGAATCACTTCTTCACTAAGTGAAGATCCAAGTAAGTTGCAAGTTTTTCTGGATAGTTTGAGTGCTAGTGTAGCCATGTTTGGCATGCGTTTTGCACCTTAAAAGTGTAAAATGTTGCTCCAAGATTGGGTTGGTCCAACACCCAGTCTCACCCTCACTGGGAAAGTAATAGAGGAAGTAGACAAATTTTGCTATTTGAGCAGCTATATCTCACTTGACGGACGCGTCACAGATAAAGTTTCGGTACGTATACAGAAGGCTTGATTGGCATTTGCCAACTTGAGACATCTGTGGCGCCGTCGCAACATCCGGATGCCTGTGAAGGGTTGACTATATGCTGCAGCAATTAGGCCATTCTTGCTTTACGATACAGGGACTTGGTCGCTACGGGAACAGTATGCAAATAAACTGTTGGTGTTCAAACACCGCTGTCTACGCTGCATTGCACGAGTCTGGTGGGAAAACCGGACAAGCTATGCTGAGGTTAGGTGCAGAGTTTTGGGTCATCCTGGTCGTCTACTAGACCAAGTGGTCGATCTCCATAGACTACGGTGGTTGGGACACGTATTGGCGCATGCCACTAAATAGGTTGACGCGGCGTGCGATGTTTGCCGAGGCAGGGCGTGGTTGGAAAAAGGTCAAGCGCGGTCAAACTAAGACCTAGCATGAGAGTATGAAAGCCCTAACCAGAAAACTCAGTCATATAGGGACCGTGAGGCTCCCTGGATGGGGACCCCGAGATCATGTAGACGGCGGTTAGAGACACAATGATATGACTGGGTGTCGCAAACAGTGGCACTCATGCATCCACTCATTATTCTTGCAAACCCCAGTTTATATGAATTCGCTTTTCCTTTCCTTGACTGTGCTCTAAACATTCCTATCTTCATTCAATTCTCTTATCTTCATGGGCACCCAAAGATAGGAACCAAAACCGGCGTACGAAGATGCACAGGTAATGGGTGTACAAACTGAAATTGCACCCAATGCATCAAGTGGAGCGTGGACGGGACAGTAACTTATTGGCTGGTAGCTCTTCAATAAAGCATGAAGAGTTCTCCCACATACGAGAGGGAGTCCTGGGTATCTGGTTTATTGCGTCTATCTAACGGGGTGGGAGGTTCAACCGGTAAGCTACTCCTCTGTTTTTATTCTCTGTAATGCAAGATCCGGGGCGAAACAGTGGTTGAAGGAAAAACTAGAAGATGCCTGGTCGTCTGGCCCATGTGCAACCGAACTTTGTATGGTAGCTATCGATTGACATTTCAGGCATGCTGGGATCTGCCACAGGAGAAACCCATACTGTAAGGATAGCTGAGTTATGGAGGCGAGAAAGCCATCAGACCACATAAAGGTAAAGTCTCATCGTGAGAGATATTCCCCATATAACCGTTGAACAGCATACCGTTGATGATGGGATTTACCTTATTTACTATAAAGCACAGAACGTCCAAAAATCATAATAATAAAATTAAACGAGACCCATCATCCTCCTTGAAAAGATTGATGTATATTTATAATATAAAATTATCATGAAGCATGTAGAATGCTTATATCTAAACTAGCCATTACCAACTATTTGAGGTTCTGATCGTAAACCTTTGTCACTTTCGAAGCATTTAGGAAAAAAAACTATCGTGCAATTTGTTACAATGAAAATGGAGTCCACGAAACTGCATGATCAGCCTTAAATTAAGCGAACTTATGGTAAGCTTAAATAGGGCACGCAAATGTATTACTATAATTACGATGACAAGAGAACTTCAGTAGAGTTTACCTGTATCTGAATACCAAAAATGTTGAATGGAGAAAAAGCTGCCAGAGGATAAGTTCGCCTTTGAAACAGGAAGCAATTTATTACAGATTCCAGAAAGTCCCCGAATAAATTGAATATCTTCGTTTCTGGTTACTCACAAACGTGTTAAACAAAGAAAACCAACCTCTCGATAAAATTGTATTTGACATCAGAGGCTGAAAATAAATGATTATAAAAGACGTGTGAGTGTAGGTGTATCACGTAAAAATCAGTTTTGAGAATAGAATATGACTCAAATACATCAGCATAAAGGATCATCCCCATGCCTGCGTTTTGCAAAAGTGAAGTACAAGTTTTCCCTCTGCACTGTAACAGTCATAAATGGTACCGATTTTTGTGTCCAAAGATGGGGCAAAGCACTGATTCACATAGAGGAACAGGGACTCATTCGGTGCACAAGATATGTAATCGCGAAGAAAATTGACCACCCCGGCCACTGTTTTTGACCGTTGAACAGCCCATCGTTTTTTCTTCAGTTGTGGTGCATTTCCGGCAGCCTGAAGAAGCAGTGTCACCGTATCACTCGGTGTAGCACTACCACCAGCCGTGGATTGTGAATCACCACCCATGAATGAGTATCAAATGAAGAACCCAATATTCAACTGGATTTTACTAGTCGATTGTTACGGGGACGGTAGAGTCACTCACGACTAAAAGAAAAAAAGGACGCAAAATTTAATGCAGAAGAAAACAAGGGACCTTTCGCTGTAGATTAATACAAACACAGTTTGGCGTATATTTACTGCGATCACCAGCGCAAAACTCAGTTCACCCAGAACTACTTACTGTATGACGCACTGGCACTTTAAAAAATAGAATAGGCAAAAAAGGGTTACCTTTGACAAGCTCATCGTGGGTGGAAGTGCCTATGAAAACTTTTCTGCTTTCACAAATTCTTCACGGTTTAAAATGACCGTTTAATTTATAAGCACTGTCTAACGTTCAGTGGAAATGATGGGCTTTTATGATTTGGAAAAGTTCAGTTTAGCTTTTACAACCACTAACCAAGCACTTTCGTGCGCCGGTTTTGGTTGATGTCTTTTGGTGCCCCATTTGGATAAACCAGTAAGATGAAGACTGGAATTTTGAAAGTAAATTCAAGCGGCAGATGGAGAATCCATGTAGAATGGTGTTAGGGGAATAATGAGTGGATGCATGAGTGCCACTGTTTGCGACACCCAGTCATATCATTGTGTCT